AAAAGACTTGTGATTTGAAAGATGAACCTTTCTCAGAGGTCTCTTCTTGAAGTAGAATTGCAATGAGCTACAAAAAAGTTGCAATTCCAATGGTTTATAATGTTTAAATTATGGTTCTATATTGAGACGGCATAGATCTCATGAGAGTAAGTATATCTATTTGTAGTGGTAATAGTACATCTACAAAATGATATTATTGAAGTAATATTTTGAAATTGTCCAAGTATTGTATTACAAATTTGTGGAATTTTATTTTTTGTGTAATGAATTTTTTTTAGAGATAAACTTGAGTGACAATGTCACTTACTCAATATATGTTTTTCAAGAGGAAGACAAGCTTTGTTGGCAGTTTTACATGATCTTAAATGAAAAAAAATTGTGTTGTCAATACAATCCCAAATTGCTCCAAAAGCATTATAATCTCTTTTCTTTTATACAAGAATTATTAGTTGATTTAATAGATATAATTTAGTATTTATTTCCATATTAGGAATTGATTCTTTTCAACTTTGAAAACTAGATTGTATATTTCTTTTACTTCAAACTTTATTTGGATTTTCGATTTTTAAACTATACATCACAAACTATTAAATTTTGATCATTTTTTTGTTGAAAATCTATTTATAGTCATGTTAAAAAGTAAGATTTACTAGTACCATATTTTTTTATTGAGCATTTTTAAAAAAGCCTTTTCTTCTTAAATAAACTATTTTTTTTTTTTTAGAATTTTTAGATTTTCAAAAAATTACTTTGATATCATAATATAATCTAATAATGATAATAATAATTAATATTATATTCTATTTTGAATAATATTTATATTTATTTATTTTTAATTTGTTTATAAAAATATTTATAATACTAAAAATGTGACATATTGAGAGGAATGTGCCTTCTTTATAAAAGTGAGTCATTTCTATAGAAGCATAGTCTACTTATTGGTCTAAGAAGTTAGTACGTCCTACATGCACTATGCCGATGTTGGCAGTACATACTCAAAATAATAACTAATATATTCTACAAAGCCATACATATAGCTAAAATAGATCAATTTGGAACTAAAAATTGTAATTATAGCCACAGCAATAGATCTTGTTATAACCCTTGCCATCGACCAATATAACGTAATTTTCTAAAGTAATTAGACTTTATTGAATATAATTGGATTTTTTTTTCTATTAATTGAAAACTTATTCCAACCATTTAAGATATAATATATTTAAGATATAACTTATTCCAACCATTTAAGATATAATATATTAAAGATATAATATATTTGGTTTGTGATTGTGCAAATCCTAGTGAAATTTTAAATCCTAAACCAAATCCTAATAAAATCCGAAATCTTGAATCAAATCCTAGAAAAATTTTAAATCCTAAATCAAATCCTAATCAAATCCTAAACCCTAAATTAAACCATAAGGTAGTTTGGAATCTCAATATCTTTTGGCTAAACCATTGATCTTATTTAAAATTTTACACACCTTTCAATCTCTTAGTTACAAACAAGTCCAACAAATTTAAAGACAATCGTACTTACCAAATAGAAGAAAAACCCTAAAATCTACTTAGATGTTAGCTGGCCTCCTTCTCCAACCTTAATGCTAATATTCCAATGCTAATATTTCTCTTTGGCACCATTCAATTGATCTCAAAATTCTCAAATATATAGGAAAACAATTCTACTACCTATACATATAACTTTTACTCCAATCCAATAAGTAAATTGCAAGAAATCTTAGAAACCATTACTAAACTTGAAATTCACTTAAATCTCAATAATACTCAATTCAACTATTAGATCAAGCTAAAATTTATAATACATATTAAGCACAATAATAACCATCAACCCAAAAAATTTCACTTGTAGATCTACTACAAAATTCTTGAAATTATCCAAAATATCAATTCTATTTTATTTCACCAAAACTTGAGTTATCTGAAACAATCTTGACTTTCTAAAGCTCTTACAAAGTCATTACCAATCTAAATCACACAAAACCAATGCTTATAGAAATCTTATCAAGTTTGCTATCAAATTCCACTCTTTGATCTCCAAAAGAATCCTAGAGTTGTTATAGGTGTGTGGTTTTGTGCCTCGGGGTCTGATTTTGATCCAAGTTGACAACCGGTCCTCTTTGAGTATCGATTCTTGGCTTCTTGACATAAATTTTTCTAAAATCTACTCTTAACTTTCTCCTACACATGCCTATATCATTTAATTTAATTTAATTTAATTTTTTTTGCCTTATTTATAGTCCTACAAAGTAAATAAAAGCCTATTTTATAAAAAGATAATATTAATGTTTTTTAGTTTTATTACCCTTTTTATTATTATTTATATTTCTAAGATAATTTTCTATAATATTTTGAACTAAGATCTTCTACAATATAATAATTTCCACATTCTTTCATCTATTAGCTGTGTTACACCATGATACCGCCTCATCTTTGTGCTTGTCATTCAATATAATCTTTAAGTTCACCAAATGGATGTAAAAATAGATTTTTTCAATGAATCATTCTAATATGTGTATAGAATTTGGAATAAAACTTAGTTAAGGTGTTATACATATTTTTATTTTTTTCAAGTTTTTTTTGTGTCTTTATTAAACTTCATTAACAACAACTTAAATCAAAATAATAAATTTTTATTGCTTATAATTTAATAAATACTTAATTTATGTTGCCACCTTTCACCATTTCAAAAAAAAATAGTCAACAAAAATTTTATCATAAAAGAATTTTTAACATCCATTCTACTCCCTAATACCAATTCACATGCTTCATTATTGCATATTTCTTGTCCTACAACCTCAACTATTTCAATAACCAATTGCCACATAAGTTACTTAAGATTCCTTACAAAATCACTCAGAGCTAAGTTGCTACAATATTCACTTATCAATTAGAAAAAAAAAAAAAAAAAAAAAAAAAAAAAACTATATTTTTCTATTTTAATAAAATTAAAATAGAAAAATTATAAAATTAGTATTCAACAAGCTTGATTGAATTTTTCCTTATAAAAAGCAAATTATTGAATAAATCTTTTCATACACCTCATGCAACCTCATTCTAACCTCAGAAGAAATTGTTTCTTGTCATTCAATTCCACATCACTCTTTTAAGACTTTCAAAAGCCAAAACACATTTATAATTGGAAAAAAAATTTACAAAAAAATAAAAATTAAATCATACTGACAAACATGATGTTTTGTTGATAACTTGCATATAGAATTTGAAGTTTTTAAAGCTTTTTTAACTTGCAAGTATAAGAAACTTGTATATCTTTATAACTACTAACTTTTTTTATTGATAATGGATGGCATGATTAAATTGTATAATTATTAAATGAATGAATTATTAATTTTTTAGAATTTTATATTGATAGTTTTATGTTAAATTGATTCAAAATCTATTTTTTAATGTGTGAAGGAAATTTAATTATTTTAATATTAAAATTTATAAAATATTAAAATCAAGTTTTGGATTTTGCTACAGTTTCTTCACAAGCATCGAGCAAAGTTTGCTTGTTGAAAACTGAGAGAATTTTATTTTTATTGTTAAGTGATAAGTCAAGGCTCTAGAGTGAATGCTTTGATTGTGCATATTGAGTTGGTTGCTTACATGATTGGGCTCTAGTTCTTCCAGCTCATTGCACTGATGACATGGGAAATATCTTCATGTGATGACAGGATGAAGGTTTTGACATTCTCTGTACTACAAGCATATGAACTATTCAAGAATGGATACAATTCTAAACATAACTCCACATCGAAGCAAAGGATAAAATAAAAATAAAAATAAAAAAATAAATTCAAGTTGCAAAGAGAGGTGTTCAGTTAGTAGGGCAGACCTTGTGATATACAAAGATCTCTTTCTGTCCAACTGCCGCAAGCAATATACCCACTATTTACAATTGATCCTGCATGGTTCTTTTCAGTGGTGTGGCTTATGAGTATTTGCATCTGGAAAAGAAAGAACAATTACAAATCACAACATTATTCTCATGTTTAGTTTTGCAAAATTCCTGCATCAACTCTCTTGCCCATGTGCTTAGATAATTTTTGTCTATTTTCATGGAGGGTTAAGTAAATTAAAACCTCAAACATCAACCACAACACAAGCTATTAAATTGCTAATAGATATGAGTAACTCATCTACAATTATATCCACCAAGGCATGAATCAGTGAAGCAAGTAAATGTCATGAAACTGAGCTTGCAGTCATCACATCCAGAAACCACCATTGATGGGTCTGCCACCAAAAAATTAACACTAGGCACCTTGTTCACGTGCTTCACACCCAATAGCACTGGCAATAGCAAGAAACATTAATACACTTAGCCAAGACATAACCTCAAAATTATTTACAACTTACTATATAATATCTAATAAATATGATATTGTACTAAGTTGACATTTTCTAATTGTGAAATCAGTAAAAAGATGTAATTAATTGTACATAAAAAGAAATGAACCTCAAAGTTACTTGCCGTTGGTTAAAATCCCACGTTATAACAATACCTTAATAATCGTTACTTGCAATCAAAGATTTGTTCACTTGTTCCACCTTGGGCAGCTGAGCCTAAAATGAGTTGTTTTGCTATTGGACAGTGAAGGAGAGCTTGGATGATGCAGTTCACAATGCCAACCTCTGAAATTCCATCAAACAGCGTACATCCTTGCCCAATTTCATATTCAGCTTGAAGATGTGACTAGGAAGGCGTTCACCATTTTAGCTTGACTAAGTACGCAACGGTTATCGGATAGGTCAGACTGACAGAAGTCTGCATTCCGAAAAGGACCCAACTCCTTGATAGAAAAAAAATGCCACAATAATAGAAGGAATGTTAGTGAGACTAAACGTTACGTAATGAAAGAAAAGAAATGAGACTTCTGTGTACAAAAGAGAGCACTTAAATGCAATATTTGAAAAGGGGTTCAAAGATGCAGTGAGAGTCATCAAAGAATTGGAAGAGTGGCATCTCCCCGACACAATTTAAGTTGACAAATAAGATGCTCTCATAAGACCATTCTTTTATTGTCCACATTAGGTACAGGTCTTCCACATAACTTTTGCGCACAATAAAAGTGACAAAAGAGAATAAAATATGGATGTATGACATTATTCTGCAGCTCAACTGCAGACTTGCCATAAAATATAGTCAAAAGCTAAGAACTGTCCTAATGGAAAATTGGGGTTAATAAGAGAAATAGTATCGTACAAATTACAACTATACCGAGCTTTCTAGTTACTACTTGAAATTTTGAAAAAGAGCTATCTACACTTAAGGTGTAAATACCAAATGAGGGGTTCGCAGGTGGTTTGTTAGGTTCCCTAGCCTAGCAGCAATTTGTGCCTGAAAATTCCTGACAAAATATTCAACAAGGAAATCAAGGGCTCAGCATGTGCTTGATGAAGTACTGATTTAATGAAGGCAACTAACATAAGCAAACGTAAAATAAAAACAGGGAATGATGACAACCCCTCATCCCAGATGATTAAATAGGCATCAATTACTAGTTTGCTAATTCCTGGTGGCGCTCTGAAAGGCGTTCCAAAATGCGCATCTTGACTTCCTCCTCACGAGACTCTGAGAGTGGTGCCTTGGTTACCCCATCCACCACGTAGAAGATGTCGACTATACATGTGTCTTGTGTTGCTATTTTGGCCCTTTTAACACTGAAAGAAAAATAATGGCGTGTTAGAAAAAGCACCAATGCTTGAATATCACTACTCATGCTTGTCAATGTTTTAGTGAGGAGGAAAACAGAGAAAATCTTGGCAAAATCTGGTGCTACTAGCGGCCATCACAGACCAACCTTATAAGCTAACATGTAAGGTTATCTAAAATACCCCATTAGACTAAATTATCAAACCTAGTTGACACAAAAACTGAGCTTGGTGCATGGCGCTAAATTCATACTGCTGAAAACTTGAGACACAATTCTATGAATAATCATCCAACTCTACACACAAACAAGGGAAGGATTAAAGCAAAAAGGAATGTAAAGACCTGACACCAGTTTCGTAGAATGCTTGTGTGAGATCAAAGAGCAACATTTCTTGGTCAACTCCCTCAACTGTAACCTCCGTTTGTCCGTTGTCAATCTGAAAAAATACTTTAAAGGCGGGTTGTTCATAATCCGAGACAACTTCTTCAGTAGAAAAAACAGCCTCATCAGACTCAAGGGGTTCAGGTGCAACTCTCTCTGCCATTGATGCTTCACTTGAAGGCAAGGAAGTATCATTGTTCTCCAAGTCCATCTGCAAAAAAATTTAGTGATGAAAAAAATTAATGTACTGCGTAGGGTGACCAAACCCAAATACTATTTCCAGATTGTTCATTTTCTAGAGTTCTATCACTTAGAAGAAGCGAGTACAGGAAGCTTTTATACTCCAATTTGTTATATCGATGAACCACTGGTATCACAAATCAAAATTTCATCAACTTTCACATGGTTACTTTGCGAGTTCCTGAATCATGTTCGAAACACTCACAACGGATATAAAACGAGGTATACAATTTAACAAAGTATTGTCACACAGCACGCACCACACCCTAAGACTCAATATCAAAGACCAGGAGGGGGGAATTAACCATGTTCTGACTGCAGCACTGGACAACACCATGAAACAATAAAACAAGACGGTTCAGCAGATCCTTCAAGCACGTAGAAGCCTACAAGGAAAAACAAAGAATGGTGTAAGTTTCATCCCAAAAGACATCATGATGCCAAAGCTCCAAGAAGAGTCAAATGACACACAATATCTTTGTAAAGAGCAGCATGCTTGACAACATGGACTCCGTGCCTATGGAATCTTGTGGCAAGGTCTTAAATACTACTGACGTGGACAATTCCTTGTAGCAAGGATCTAATTACAAAGACCAAGGTCATGAAGCTATGAATTACGATAAAGAGGGTCACAAAGGAAAATATAAAATATAAAATATAAAATAAAGCAAAGTAAGAAGCTAGGATTTGATAGATTATCACAAGATGTTTTTTCCTTCCTGTATCAAAAAACACATGCAATAAGCTTGATAGTGAAGGTCGAAATCAAAATTGGCCTATATTCTTACATGATCCTCTTGAAGCATAAATTTACATAATTTCATTACATTCCGATACATGTATAAATTGCAAACAAGAGTCCAAGACTACTCATCAACGTTGATGACAAGCACCACCATGATATAAGAAAACAAAAGCCCGAGTTTGCACACGCGCAAATCAAAACCAAAATGAGCACGCTTTCTTTCCTTTCATAACAGACGACTCTTTAAAACGACATGATTGCACTTGAACCTTTGCTGTTTGAAACCCGTGTCTTGAAAGATGAAAAACACCAAACTTGATTCTTTCTATCACCAGCATAATAAAAAAAAAATCGAATTTCATGGGATCTCTTAAGATCAAGAAGACAAGCAAACCATGCGTTTCAAGATGACAAGACATACTTGCCACACCATTCCCAAAACCCAAAATCCAAAAGTCAATTCATAACCATGGTCAATTATGATAATAACGATACTGCCCAAGGAGAAATCGTTTCTCAGAAAATGAATAAACAGTTGCAGCGGGTCTAAATTGCAGTGAAGTGCCAGCATTACAGGTCAAGCGACACAATCTAACCTTAAATCAATCACACGACATCAAGAATTAGAGGGCGAACCTTTTGAGGACTTCCTGGCTCAAGGTCTCCTGAAGCTTCACGGCTTGGCGATTCTATGGCCTGTTCATGACTGTTGAAAAGTGCAAGTGGCTCCTCGTCAGGAAGTTTACGCCTCGATTCTTCTGCAGATGACAGGGAATTGCCAGAACTTTCACCGAGTGAAGCTAGCTGTATCCGCCATTGCTCAGCGAGACTCTGAATTGATTTGAACTGCTGCTCAATGACCTCTGCGTAGATGTTCATAAAGTTAGGTCAATACTCTAAAAATGGTCGACAAAGTCATGGATTAGTCTTACAGAAGCACACTAGAACTGCTCGCAAAAAAGGAATACATCCCGTTGCTTAAGGATTGACGAGTAGATTAAGCTTCTAATCTTCCGCGAGCTACCTTTCAATTGACATATTTCATACATTACTTTGTCACTCACCATGTTGTAGCAATTTGTCTTCGGAGTCCGCTATTGATGTAGCATATCCACTTTTATAATGCCTATCACTGTGTGTAGGACTTCCAATGCTACTCGCTGCCTTCGATTGATCGAGGTCATCCTCAGCGTCGAAATCAGAGAATCGTGACGATGCATCACCAGACCGTGCAGATAAGCGGGAACTGCTGCATAACCCAGGAACTACTCCAGGTCGACGCGTGCTATCCTTATCAGCGAGCAGCTCCTCAATGCCCTCAAACTTCTTTCTCCTACACGAGAAAACTAATATCAACTAGTGTGTAGAACAGTGACATTCAAGTGTCCCCATGTCCATTTTAAAATATGAAAGAAACCCACGCTAAGAGAGCGCGGGAAGAGATGTACGTCTGACTACAGCGGTTCTTGACAAGAAAATTTCCAGAAGGAACAGCACTATCAGAAAAAGGAAAAAACAAAAACAAAACAGTCTAAACCCATCAGAGCCAATCAAGAGGTCAAGTGAAACGAGACCTATGAACTTAGCATACTGATGAGCTATCAATTAATGTAGCACACCAGCAACAAAATATCTACTGCAGGACTATATCGTGCTCGTCGGACTTCAGAGGGCTCTTCTCAGATTTTGATGTCCACGCGTCCAAGCTTCATATGTAAGCAATTAATGTCAGAGCATCGCCATAGTAAGGTACTTATAGTGAGGTATAATTGAAACCCACCCTCTATTGAATATCTTCCAGGTGACTATTTTGGTTACTTCAATGCCTCGGCTCAGAGGTAGGGTTGAAGAATCAACACCGGGTTGTCGACGTACATGTCGAATGTAATCATTTGTAGCGTCATCTAAGGCATTGTCCGCCACCACAATTGCTCCCTTCTTCAACTTCAGAACATCAAAAATCTCAATGTAGCGTTCAGGCTGTCCTGAGAGCAACACAAACTCCAGTCCTGTAGACCACATTCTCACGTCAAATATAAACTATACACCTTGCATATACGAGCAAGTTAAGTCACCATGCCAGTCTTTAAGAAAGACAATCCTGGAGCTGATCTTTAAAATTGTAAATAACATAACCATCGATTTTTTAATTGCTTCATAACCAATGCATTACTTTTTTATAAAAACGTGACCTACCTACCTTACAGTACTGCAAAAATTACCTTCTCTCCGAGGAATAAAGGTCAAGGGATCCTCTGTAATGAATCTCACATAATCAGACAACTCCATCTCCTTAAGAAAATAACGAACAACATCTTGCTTCTCAGCTTCATGATGCACGGACAACAGGCAGCTGTTGGTGGCTCGCGCAGCTGCAGCAGAAGCAAAAAGATATAAGAATCTAGCAAAATATACGCTAAAATTTAGATAACATTTCTTTTATCTTTCGTTGACTGAGTAGGTATAAAACACAGTACGGATGACAAGAACAGCAATAATGCAGACAAGCAAAGAGAAAATGATGAATAGCAACAAAGTGAGCCATGGTAATCAAATCACTCGCGTATACCTGCAGCAAGGGCTAGCGTAGACAATCCACATCCTACTTGCAAAGTATGACGTGAATTTTTTCCAGCGGCCAAAGCAGAAATAAATTCTGCACTGGCAGGTTCGAGGAGTGGGAGCCTTTGTTTACCCCTAACAAACGACTGCCGTTTCAGTAAGAGGGTCCTCCGCTGCAATGCAGAGGCAGTATGAGCTTTTCGGATCTTTAAAATTACGCAGCCAATGATTCGTCAGTCCAGCATGAAAAGCTATGAAAACTGTGGAAGTGACCATATACAATAACTTCAATTCAATTTTTAAGAAATCAATGTAACAAGACAGAGTAGCGCATGCAAAACGCCCGTATTTAGAAGATGAAAACAAGAATTAACAGCCAACTAAAGCGACTTCCAAAGTATGACCATTCAAGTATGCCTGCCCATTGAGTACAGTTAAAATGGACTGCGTATTGCTGGTGGTTCAGACTTTGTATTGACCTCCTCCGATGTGCAAAAAATAAAAAGACATTTGCATTGTTCTTCTCCTTCAAATCGAGACATGGCCATTGAAGAAGACATACCAGGTCCAACGATTCACAAAACGCGGCAGTCGATATCTCTGAGTACCACCGCATCTCGCTGGTATGAGAATCTCGCATCCTGCCCCCTCCTACGGCACCTCCTAGTGTTCCCAACGCTCATTACAGTCCTATTCTCTAACCCGCCTGAAGTGCTCGTGCCCTTCCTGCAACTGTGACTAAATTTCGTAAATAAATAATATAACCTGTGCAAATTGCTACTGGGATATCAAGTAGCAGGTGTGAAAATAAATGCAACCTGCCTATCTTCAATGTAACAACATTATGTGACATGCGAGAAACAACTAGAATTGAGAAAGGGAGGTGCATCGAGCTCAGGTGCATTGATATGACGAGCACGCCCGACCTGCTAGCCTTCACTCGCTATTTCATGTCCTCCTAATATATAGGGTTATGCAATCATACTCTACAATGCTTACATTGGTTTCAATTCCAGAAGTGCCGACAAAGATATAAGAGGGCACTCAAATATTGAGCAATAGGTCGAAGTAGCACTGCCTAATCCCAAAAAGTGAGATTTTTCGAATTCCCTTAAATCCATAAGAATGTAGTAGTTTCTAGACACTAAAGCTAACCAATTCAACTACTACAATATATGTTTACTTTTCAAAGCTGAGCCGAGATACAGTTTCTCCAACTGCCGTTGCGAAATTGAATGTGACCAAACGTGTCCAGTCCTTATCAAGATCAAGATGGTCGATTACTGAATGAGTGACATTGAATGCACCGAAATCATCGAAAAAGAAAAAGAAAAAGAAAAAAAGTCCTAATTACAGTTTTATTTGAAGCTGAGAGCTTCAGCACAGGCTTGAGAGCAAGTTGGAATTTTTAGAGACGACTCCCAAGTACCTTAAACCAATATGTCGTAATCAAGTCAGATCAGGGGCACATTCATGGCAGCTCCAAGGCAACATGAGAAAAGAAGAACCTGAATAGAAAGTTTTGTGTAAAACGAGTATGACAAGAAATCATAAGCCATATACTCACCTCTGAGCTTGCGCGAAGAGGATGTCTGCTACAAAACGTAATTGCGCACAATTTGAACTTCCAGGGGTTGAATGTCGAGTTATTTCTGGATCCAACTTTTGACACTCCCCACCGCGTTTGGCCAGCCACACCGCTCTGTCAATGGTTCGCCCTACTTGCATCACTCGCATTTCAACCTCCTCGAGAACACCAACCAACATGTAGTAACTCTCCACAACCAGGACTTACACTACCTTGGCTTGACTGCATCCGCTGGCTAGTAAAAATACTGGTTTAGCTTATAGGCCCTTGATGTAGGAAGTCGGTAGAAAAACGTTACGTGCGTTTTCAACTAGTAGCATCAATCAACAATCCGCTTTGATTCAAGTTAACTCAACGAACAAGGGTCCAAAAATTAGAAAAAAGTCATATGCAATAACACCGTTCCTTTCACATACTAGTCCTCCCAATGCCACAATACCGCCAGGGCATTACCCAACAAGGGGCAATCTTATAACCCTCTCAAAATGCGATGAACGACGTCCGAGCGCTGCGACAGCGATACGACTTACACTCAACAGCTTGTGAAAGCTGCGGCAGTTCCTGAGAGAGCTATCCCTCTAACTCACTCCGCTCATCAAGCCTCCACCGAACCACAACAAAAATTAGAGCATCCCTTGCCTCCACAACGCCGAGATACTTGAATAATCCCCGAATCTCGACTAAGTAGGCAAAATGGAGTACGAAATCAGCCGTGACACATTCCAATTGCGCTACTACGCGGCCATGGCCGTCACCTGCCTTCGCTCATCTTAACATCATCGTCTCACAACCCAGACGCTATCCAACACCCCTACGCAAAACGTTGACCGCTTCTAAAACTCACACAAAAGTATAAATCGACCAAAAGAGCTAAATCGACCGAACGCGAGTTCACGAAACAAATTCGCTCAGCTCACGGTGCTGGCGATGTCATAGCACGCAGAATTCCTGATGACGCTAACGATGACGAGCAGACAGCCGCATGATGTCCTGGGCATTCTTACCAAAAGGCTTCAAGCTCGTCGATAGCTCGTATTTCCTAGCACCCGCCCGCCCGCCCGCCCGCCCGCTCGCTCGGCCGGACCGGGACAGTACGGGACGGTTCTGCGCGGCACGGAACCACACGGAACGGCACGTCTAGGCTCGGGCCGCAAGGGTATGAGTCTCAAAGCTCCCCAGACCCTTCACCCCGTGGATCTGGAACGGGTTCGACCGCGAGGGCGATGTGCGCCGGAGCGGGCCGGCGAACTCGGCCTCGAACCTTCACAAGGACCCCCGGTGATTGGATTTCTGTAGCTCCGAGGATACGTTCAATCGGGCCTCTGCACCCGGTGCCGTGCTGCGTCGATTACTTCCATTCATGAGAGACTTGATTTTATGCTTTTGACCCTTCTGGACGTCCACAGCGCATGGACGGCACACACCCTTCCCTTGTGGGAACTTGCACTCCCCCTCATCCATCCAGTGTCTCATCCATACATCGTCTCATCCATATATTGTCCCGTTGATCCATTGTATCATCGATCCAATGTCTCATCCATCCGTTTGAGTGTTCGTTCGTTCGTGTTCGTTCGTTCGTGTTCGTTCGTTCATTTCTTCTTCTTCTTCCGCCTTCTCTGTTCACTCTTTAGTCGCCCTCACATTCATTATGTGCATATTCGCTTGAGTCAATGCTTTTTTGTTCCAAGTTTAAGTTGTCTTAAATAAACAAATAAATGACATGTAGACAAAACAATTAGTTTGGGTGTGCACTAGTCAAATGCTTTATTAGTATCAAATTTGCACAATCTATATATATATATATATATATATGTATATATATATAACTTTTTATTAATCTCAACAATCTTATTTAAAAATTAAAGATTTGAAAAGTTTATTTAAATGTGTTTTCAAAAAACTAAACTAGGTAAAATTTTATCACTTTTTGGTTATTAAAATAATAATAAACATTCTAAAACATAAAAAAATATAAGAAAATTTAGAATCTAAATTAAAATATACAAAAGGTATTAAATAGACTTAAGGTGAGTTTAGTCACTTGAAATGAGTCAAGGGCCATCATTGACTTGTCCGTCTAACAACTTCAAACATTTGGTGTTCTGCAAGAGGGTTTATGTGTGCCTTTTGCCATTTTGTTATTACTGTGCTGTCTGTTGTTGCTTGCACACATTTACCATGAAGGTTTTGGTTCATGCAGCACATGTGTTTCTTATACTGTATGTGATAGTTTGTGTTTGAGTTCATGCCTTAAATGTGATATTGTTTGTGTGTTTGAACACCCAAAGTGACATTTTGTTATGGTAATGAACCAAAACTGATGGATAGATTTTTAAATTTGATCCATGGCATCAATTGACTTAGAATTGGATTGTAGATGAACAAAACCATTATAAGTTGGTGTATGAACATTCAATAATTGTTGTAATATAAAATATTTGTAAAATTTAACATTATGGTAGAATAATATGTTTCAAACACACCAAATACTGAAATAAATAAATTAAATAGTTTTATATTATATTAAAAAATAGAGTATGAGGACTGTCAATTGTCAACCAAATAATTTTTTCTTTTCCTATTCTTAATTAATATCACTTTGTTTTTTAATTTTTTTTAAGATATTAATTAATAAAATATTTTGTTATTAAAGAAAGTATTGATAGAACAATTAAATAAACAAACAAATGATCTAAGATTTATAAGTATTTCTTGGTATTAAAAAATATTATTTTTTGTAGAAAATGTTACATAAAAAAATTACGAAAAATATGATAAGATTATTTTAATATGATAAGATTATTTTAATATGATAAGATTATTTTAATATGATAAGTTTATTTTAATATGATAGATTTTAAAAAGCTTGATAGTTTGATAGCTTTTTAAAATCCAAAAAAGTCTTATAGATGAGTATATATATATATATAAGAACTATTTAATTTTTAAAAACGATTTCATATCAAAATATATTACCAAAGTTTTATATTTTTAGAATGTAATATTATAACCATATTAATATTTTGTGTAGATTTTGATTAAATTTAAGCTTTGGAAAAAAATTTATTAAAGAATGTAATATTTAAATGAGACAATATATGTATTATTAAATAAAATAAAAAATAAAAGATTAATTCTTCAATCATCAAGAAAAAAAAACTTAGAAGTATAAATTTACTTAATTACAAGTTAATTAATTCAATAATATTATAAAATTAATTTAATAATTTTTTAATATACATTATATTTATGGTTGTTAGATAAACATTGTTGAAGTTATTAAAGTATCAAAACAAGAGTTTCAATACTATTATTATCTATTATTATATACATCAAAAATTGAAAATTTTATTTTATTTATTATAAATTATAAAATTATCATTTTAATAAATATTTAGCATTCTATACAAAATTGTATCATTTTATTGATTTTTTAATTTATTTATTAAGTCATTACATCCTTTCTATCATTGCTTCTAAATTATTTGACATTCTCAAAGTGCATAATTATAAACCATGAAATTTGATGTTTTATAAAAATGAAGTAGTATAAATATTTTATATTAATTAGAATTTTTTTTGTTCTTCTTATGCTGTTGTTGATTCTTAGAATGTGTAGGTAGTCTATCTCAAGAAGTGTTTTTTTTACAAAAATTTTAAGAATTTATGTTAAAAAAAAATTCCGTTTGAATTACAATTCTTGGAATTAATATTTGAAATAAAATAAATCAAATTTATAATAAAAATAAAAACAAATTCATGTATCATTCTCACTTTATAATATCTCTAAAAATTAGAACTTCTAGAAGAGAATTTTTCTTCACCAAGTAATGGGCGTTTTGGAAGACTTTTATACCATGACTTTTCAAAATAGGCTTCTAGATGTATAGGCCCCCAAATCTTCAATTTATGTGTCTTTTCATTTTTCATTTTAATTTTTTATCATTCAGCAAATATAAAAAATAACTAAAGTCAAGTTGGAAACATGTTGGTAAACAAAAACAAATACTATATATTTATATATCTCTTTTCTCGAGTTTCATTTGAGAAGTTATTAATGAAACCTCAGTGAAATGAAACTGCAACATGTCAGAAAAGTACAGAGACGTTTTTATTGTAGAGTGACAATCTGCATGCAAAATCTGGTCATTGTGGTTGCATCGTCAGCAAGCAGCTGCAGAGATTCGAACACAAGATCTAAGACATTCACTCATCCGACCATCACTCTCAAATTTCGCTCTAGTCACAATGATTCAGCCGAGATTGATCCCAAGACCGATTCCGAGTAAACGTTGACCCACTTCAGACGGAAGCTCTCGTTGTCTTCATGAATTCAATGCTAACATCGCCTAAATTTGATGTGTTTTAGTATTCTTTTCGAAGCTAGATCTTATGTTTCTCTGCATTGTGGTGGTTTCTCGGAGCCATGGGCGAAGAGCCTCCTTCCGTAGCATATGCTTCGATGCCAGCTCAAGGGACTTGATGACGATTATTGATTCTATTTCAATTACTTCAAATTTGTGTGCTTTCATGTACTTTGATTGATCAAGTGGTGTTCTTATTTCTAAATCGTGAGGCACTTTGCCACTGTTTATTCTGATTGACGTTACTTCTGTCGCTGATTTCTTCTTGAATTCAAGGCTTGTATGTGCTTCTTTTATTTTGGCAATGGTGTTGAAGTGCAGGAATTTTGAATTGGGATTTGTATTTACTGAACGATTGTTGCCGAGCGGGTATTATGGATACGATGACTTGGTTTCGGGTTAATATCGCTCAATCTTAAGCTAGTCTTACGTTTATTAATCTAACATTGCTTTCTGACATCACCCATGCGACGGACAAGTGCCAACTGCTAGTTTGAACTTCATTTCTTCTCAGAGGTTTGCGAAGGTCGTTCGCATTTTGAAATGAAATCAAATCCTTTTTCAATAATACTTCGTGAATCGGGTACTAAAACCTTCTATTCATTCAGCCCCACATAGAAAGAAAAATGAAATCATTCTATCATAGCTCACACAGCACAGCAAAGTCGTTTAGAAAGTATGATACTAAATGCAGATGTTGCAGTGCTTATGCTCTCAACTGAATCGATTCAGGAGTTCTGTATCATTCGCTGTCTTTGTTTAGGGCTTCCTTGGTTTTTGAGTATGTTCTTGAGCTCACGCATTGGAGAGCACTGGATTACTAGAGGTTGTTACATCCAGAGGCTGCATTTAGCACTCGGATAGAATGGTTTGAATGGCTTGGTCGTTGCTCGGATACCCGAGGTTTGGCCTTTCTCTTCGGCTTATGTAATAGTGGACTCGCTGCAATCATGAATTGAATCTGAACCGATATACATGTACTAATGAGTTTAAACCTACGCTTCTGTGCGTGTTGCAGATATTTTTCTCAGCTCGTCAGAAATGCCAACGTCTGTACACTTCCCGTTTCTCACCATTGATGAGCTTAAGCTTCAAATTGTACGAGAATTTTGGCTTAAGCTTGATTTTTGTACTTGACTTTAAATTATTCCAACTTCTGTTTTTCATAGGTTTTTATAGTCGTTGTAATTAATTATTGAATTTTATGTCTTAAACTTTTGGCTGCAGTAGCCTGTAGAGACCGTAAAGTGAATATCCACTTTGCAGTTGCTAATCCTCCAGAAGACGGTGCATTGGGAAGCAATGATAAATTTGCTTAAGTTACGAGAGATTCATCTCTTGCAACTACATTGAATTTTCACACATGTAGAGTTACCAAGTTTTAGATAGGAGTGTTACTATTCTTTTAATTTTTAATTTTTTTTTTGATGCATCAAATGACTAAGCATTTGTAAAAAACTAAATTCCTGTTTAAATAAATCGGTATCAATTTCTCATATAACAGAAAATAATTGTTTGTAGCATGTGTAGAACATTCTGGTTGCATTAGAAATGTTGCTTTTCTACTAATTATACATTTAGTAAGGACATATCTAGAAGTCAAAATTTAAGATTTAAATATCAGTAAATAGTTTAATTTTTTACTGAAAAAAAATA